TTCATTCGAAATTCTGTCATGGTATCATATGCCCTCCACCAACTGCACATTACCTGTAAGAATAATGTCGTTTGCTTTACATTAATAGGGTCCTCAAGGGCATTTCTTGCCTGTAACCCTTAAATATACATATACAAAAGACCGCAGCATAATTAATTTCAGGAGATAAGTGATACAGAGGAACGCGGTTTTAGTTTGGAACCCATGAATGCTCGCTAGTGTAGCAGTCTCTGTGACCAACGTGAGGACCAAAAAGGATTCAACAAAAATGGAAGGCTGGAGAAGAATTTCTGCGAACGCAACGAATTAGTGGCTTTTGCGTAACATAAAGCTCCGAGAAACATGGCCAAAAACTTAATTTTTTAGGAGATGGCGAGATTTCAAGAACCATTTGCTAAAACGGGCCGTCAGCTGTTCTACAGTTACTTGTGAAAGAGCCCACGTAACAGGAAACCGATCCTTTTTACTGGATTGATGGGGTCTCGTCATATCGAAAAGTACAACCAAAGCTGAACATATATCTTAGTCCTTCGAACCGGTTTTCACTAGAGAAGCAGATCCATTTCACACATTTACGAGGGCAGAGATATTGTACCAACTATTACAAATATTCTGCTTCACGAATAAAAGAGTATCACAGAAGTCAAGATCTTGAAGGAACGCAGACATAATGGTCCGGGAGCGACTCTAGCATAAGCGCCTTTTAAGTTCACACGATCACTGTCAAATGCGAGGCCACTCGATGGAGGAGTGCTTCCCGGTAATTGGAAAGCAGACACCCGTTACGCCCATTAACTGATGCGGGGTGTTCGTGCACTTGCGACCAATTACAGAGCCGTCAGCTTAATATCCGTCTTTTGCATGACCACCGCAAAAGAACTCATGGTAAAGATCCCTTTTATGGAACAGTTTGCAGTTGACTATACATAACTAGCTACTTAGTTGATTTTAGTAGGCATGTTGTTTCATTTTTAATATAAAAGTGGATTGTAGTGCTTATGTACATTGTTTAATCGGCTTTTATGATATGCCCCAGTCACGAAACCCCTGCTACAAGCGGCCCCGTTAGACAGAAACCTGAAGCTTTCTGTAACTTAGCTGTTCCATATAAGGAATCTTTGATTCCGAATGTTATCATAATGTTCCAGACTACGAAGGCATCCAAAAACGGGCTTGGTGAACATATGCTGCAGCACCAATGGGAATCTTCGACAACTTGACCTTAAAACACCCTCGTACTCGGTAGTTCAAGAGCGCAAGGCTATCTTCCTCAAACACACTGAACTATTATCTTTTCTACAATGCACAATACGGATTTCGTAAGGGAAGATCATATGATAGAAATTTCATCACATGTTGCAAAAAAGCGCTCGGCGAAAAACACTGCGCTGACTACTAAACTTGATTTGTGTTTCTCGCCTGCGACCACTTTGAAGATTGTGAGTAATAGGTTTCTGAAGCAGTCTCAAGGCTCCTGTCAAATTATAATCTTACAGTAACGACCGAGTACGTACAATTTTTCTGAGCAACATCCTAGGCTACTTGACATAATATTTTTGGAAGGAATAACATCCTCTCCCAACGGAAGAGCGGAGAATCGATGAGACCAGATAACCAAGCACCCACAAAAACAATGGTATTGCTAAGTTAAGGATGAAGAAAAAAGGCACAAAACATAGCGCAAGACGTTTCCAAAGTGGCGGGAAAAGAAGGGGAATAAACGGGTGACGAGGAAGATTGAGACGCTTGACCGAAACAGGACACAACAAGACGTGAAGTAAACATGGTAGAAGTTAAATTAAGAAGGTGGATTGAAAGTTAACTGCGTGGAGGGGGTCGTGGATCAGCAGCAAGAGAAGGAGCAGAGGATGAGGGGGAGGGGGTTGGTACCAAAATAGGAGGTGTTTCATCTACTTCATCAGCGCTTTGACGACACCCGCCACTGAGAACTGACGAAGGTCAGCGTAAGTCTGTCCGGTTCCGACAAAAACAATCGGTTGGCCGGATATGTAGGCCATTGAAATCGCGGCACCAACCTGGTAGGGACAGTCAGACAAGATGCAAGCATTAATAGAAGGAAAGTGACGAGGAATTCATCAAATCAACCCAAACGTTAGCTACAGAACTGCACCCCCAAGTGTGTCGTTATTTTTCCTGATAATATATGTGGGGATAAGAGACATTATCACTGGAGAGTACGAGGAACATTATCTGTATAACAGCATAGCAATAAAAATTAAATAGAGTAGATGCCGTATCTCATGAAATGTAAACCGAGATTCTGAAATGTGCCTTCAATTTGAACAAATTACTAAAGTGGGATTCGAGTATTGAAGATTGCGCAGCCTAATCTCAAGATATTCCAGTCACTTTAGGATGTAAGCTTCATTCTGGCCGTCTTCAAAAAACAGGCTGTAAAAAGCGACTACGTAAGTTGAATGCATTTTCCTCTTTCAGTGGCCCTAAATATTTAAATATATTTCATGGAAGACATGCATAAGATATTATTTCTCATGCTCATGGGATAACAAATTACGTCGTCTTCGAACTTACACTCGAAGAAAAGGCAGCATTCGGTTAAAAAAACTTTCTAAACTGCCGAATAATTTTGGACTCTACTGGCCGATAACGTTTCAAAACTACATGCCGTATGGTTTGTGAAAGAAGAGATCAGACATTCCTCTACGCTATAAAGAAGAGATCACATAGTTTTCATAAAACTTGAAGATCACGTGTATTTTATCGGCAACATTAATGAAGTGACGGATACAAAACACTGTGAAGGAACACTTCTCATAATTAGAAACTTTCTTTAAACAGTTAGATATCCTTTGTTAGAGTTAAGAATTTAAAGAGGGCGCCGTTTTGTACCAAAAGAGTAGAAGAAATAATGTATACTACTTAAGTACACCGATCGCTCATCTATATCAGTCACTGCACCCCGGTCGTCCCGACCTGCCATCGGTGCAATAAAGAGGGTGGTAGATGCAGTGCAATTCTGCTGCGCTTGTACCCAACTCACGGGGCAAACGACGGAGGTCGTCACTTGCGACCATGGACCTGCCCCATGTCCGCAGGGGGGGGGGAGGGGCTGGGGTGTGCAGTATAATAAGAAATGAGAAATTTCGTGGAAACTTTGGCGTGTTGTTGACATGGGAAAGCGTACTACGTAGAACACACACATCGAAAGCAAATGGAGATAACAAAAATGTTCACCTTATCATCGATGGTGTCGAATTTGGTTAGGACGATGCCGTCAATTGTGTGCGGTTTCTCCGTGTTGCTGAAGTTCGCCAGGGAGCGATTGAATTTAACCAGCTGGTCAACAGCCTCGTTGCCGACTAGGGCCTCACCGACAAACAGGACTAAGTCGGGTTGGTTGACCATGATGAGCTAAAATTAAATGACGGAAACGAGGGGAAGTTAGTATTCTCTATGCTATAAAATTTACCATTCTGGGTGCCCTCAGGACGAGTCATTGAACCGACTAATGACGCTCGAGAAGGATAGAGCCCAAATAATTCGGATAGTGTCGCCAACTGTATGAAGGAGGAGGGAAAAGAGAAGGAGATGGAGGAGGAGTAGGACGAAAAACGATAAATAAGTTAAACATGCGACAGGAGACAGGTGAAAATGTACTCTTTGAGAACGTGGCCGTATACTGGTTTCGATTAAGAAACTCTAACGCGACGTAAACAGACAGAGGTTCTAATTAACGGTAAGCCTGTGCCCAGGTCTTTGCTTATAGACCTTCAATACACTGATTTATACCGAGCACATAAAGAAATTTCGAAGGAAATTAAAAAGCTGAAATTTCGAAAGCGGTGTACCAACCAGAAAGCAAACAGGAAAAGCTGGGGGTCTCAATGATGAGCCGGACTCCTTACAATTGTGTGATCCAGCAGCAGAATAGCGACAAAACACTAGTCTGGACTTTTGCTGCCAGTATGATAAATTACAACATAAATGTGAACTACTGTCCGCCTGTTGGCAGTGTGTTTATATTACGCGGTTATCCCGCAGTGGTTGATGGAGTTTAGCCTAAATATGTGCGTCAAATTCCGGTCCATGCCTATAAACCTTGAATAAACTGACTAATAACAAGCACCGAAATTAATTTCTAAGGAAATTAAAAAAGCTGAAAGATTATTTTATCAACACAAACTACTAACTTTCTGAAAGTTTTTATTAAGCTGACAACAGCAGAGGGATGAAATAGTCCAATAATAACTATAAGCATACCGGGAGCAATCAAGGGCGTAGAAATAGGTTCAAAAAGTTTCGAGGACCTACAGAAAGTATTACAGGGTATTTGGAGAAATATTTCTGGTGGAAAATTCAGGCGGTGGAGCGGGGTGGAGGCATACAGAAGCAGGCTAAGGACTTGCATGGAGCGATGAAAAGTATTTTACGAGAGCTCAGCGCAGATCGGGTTTTCTGACACATCTAAGCGGGGGGAACCACAGTTTTTTTCAGCAGTTGAATTTTCATAGCTTTATGAATAACTATGTGCCCATTTAACCTACCACAATTGCAAAATCGGAGTAATCGCTCAGGGAGTTGTGATAGCACAGTCACACCTGACTGCGTTTTAAAGGCTACTCATTGTCGAGTAACATGGCGGGAGGCACTCAAAGCACGCAAGTAAAGACGTCAACTGGTGTGGGAACCAGAATCACGTGATAGTTTCGTCTACTGATCGGGTCTGACTACAGTAATTAGGTAAGACTAGTGAAAACCAGTTCTGGTGACGGTAGTCCACAAGGGCTTGTGCCCATGCGTCAACCGGTACGGCGTCTGGCCGCATGACTAAACGGGCCTGTGTTAGAACCCCCAGGTCTTTTTCCAGTGCCTGCCTGATGACAAGGAATGCGCCTAGTGTAGTCGGCAAAGCCTCTGAGTAGCAAGAAAGAGAGAGAGGGGGGAGAGTATCTTAGTTTGCAGAGTATGCTATGGTTGAGTAGTAGCAGGCATTGGCTGCATAAATATCGGTGTAGCAAAATGCGCCACCGCAAACAGAGTGTAGAGGACAGTGCGTTTTCAAGTAAGTTCAC